AAATGGTATACTCGTTTGAGATTTCTTTGTGGATTGACTGATATTTTCGGTAGAAGATCAACGGATTTCAACTCGTCTCTTCATCCTGATCATTTATATATATATAACCCTATATCTAACTGGATTAGTTTTAGGTGATACAAACAACCGTTAGGTGAACAAAACTATTATACTCTGTAGCAACAGGTTGCGAGAGTATAAAAAGAAGTGCATTATTACTGCATTAAATTGAAGGTTTTATTTAGCATAGTTACAATTATCCGATTTAAGCGAAATATGCACCGTTCTATTCGATAGCTTGCTGCCATTTTGAATGCGATTTTATAATGCCACTCTCATAAAAACGCAGGTCCTTATTGTCAACAAACTAGGGAAGCCGATTTTCATAAGTTTCTCTTGAAACGAATTTTTCACTAGCAAAATCATTCGCCATAGACAAGAACAGATAGTAATTACTTAATATCAGGTCCAAACATAAATGCATAAATACATCCCAATCAAGCTCTCGTAGCTTCTAGTGAGTCACTATCGATGTGTGTAGCCTGGCGTTGTTCTGATGAAACACAATACCTCTAATATTGGCCAAAGTTGTCCACTTCTGGGTGAATATATACTTCAGACTGTCCGATTGTTGATAGTACATGTTCGAATTAAGAGTTTGGCCGTAGGGGAAAAGCTCATAGTAGATGATCATTAAACACAATGCAAAATCTGGTCTTCAATCCTGGCTTGGCCACCGTTTGCAACGGCTCACTTGACATTGTCGTGAGGGACTATATCACCATCCGTTTCATAAATGGATCAAGTTTGTTGCGGTTCAGCAGCGGTGTGCCGATGGAAATTTGCTCCTTGAGGTTTGTTGCTGTAACTTTGTTTACGGTCTTGTCAATATTTTGCGTAAGCGAAAAAGCGCTTGCATGATGGTTGGACGCGACGATTTTCACTATGTTATCGATATCTTTAATCTTCTACATTCTCGATTATCTTTAACATCAAAATTTTCGGAACGGAATCGTCAAAACCAAAACTGCGCATGATTGACACCTGTCGTATACTATTCACTTTTTCAGCCGCTTGGCTTGCGTTTTCGTCTGTATCGAAGAAAAGATTGATAATATATATGATGTATTTACTTTTTGCTGATGTCCATCCTTAACGCATGCTTTAACAATACTTAGTCAAGCAAACACATAACTGTCTGAGAATATTTTTAATAGGAAATCTTATTTTTCTAACCTCAACAATCTAACGTAACATCTGGCAACTATTGATCGAAGTTGATATACACTTTGTCTAGGCCACCTTTATCAAATTGAATGATCTCTGAGCCATCTCACAGCCATTATACAGTATAGATACATCGGTCAATATGTGAGATGTCTTAACGAAATGGAGTGGCTATGATTTCTTAAATATGTATGACATGTTTTGTAGATAAATTTCGTAGAATGTTAAAGATGCACAAAGCCCTGAAAGGCCAATTGTCATGCAAACCCTGCACAAAAAAAACGTTTAAAACCATGTAAATAATTGTGGATGCAAAAAAGAGCTCGTTTTATGGCTGCCACATGAGTCATCGAATGGATATTAACGGATAGGAAGGTTTTGCTATGTGTATTGGTAGAAAATCATAGTATAAACTCTTTATTCAGACCTGTTCTACCAACAATTGCACTGTCTGAAGGAAGCAATCAAATAGAACCAGTCGACTTTGGTCAACAGGAGAGGTATATTTTTACTTCAGGACAAACTCCGGAACCTTGGTTAGGAAGTTCTTATGCAACCACCTAATAGTTCAAACCTATCACCAATTGATTACTGCCTGTTCTTGATTATGGCGAATGATTTTGCTGGTAAAAAATTTGTCTCAAGAGAAAATTGTGCAAATCGATTGTCTCAGTTTTTTGCCAATGTCAAGAAACGAGAGTTTCTATGAGAGTGACGTTATGGAATCACATTCAAAATGGCAACAAGTTATTGAACAAAACGTTCAACTATGCTAAATAAAACGGATTTCTCGATAAATCGTCTACCTGTAACTCACTCTTGAGTTCGATCACTGGATTGTTAAATAAAAGTCCCAATTTAATGGCTACACACTTTATTTCTAATTCCAACGACTTAACACTTATTGCTCGTTATTCGAGCTTACAACTTCTTGCTTATATCTCAATTGTTCTTATCACGTTTTTACTAGACTTTATATAAAATTTTATGGTGCGAAAATTTAATGAACTGAAGGGTTTGGTCTTTTCCTTGCCACTATAGACTATAATAAATCATATACATATGGGTTAGAAAAAGGGAGAAAGAGACAGATAACTCTATAAAATGGGACGAGAATATTTCACTTAGCAAAGAGTGATTCGGTAGCATGCGAACTTAAACATCCTTACCTGTATTATTATACAATTTAGAGTTTAGAAAAGTAAAATATAAATGTAAATAAATATTCAAAAAGTATCTCTCATACATATGTAAATATATACCAGATATAAGTATGTATATGTACATCTGTATGAATGTGTTGTACGTATTCTAAATTTTTTGGTTTAATGAGATGCAAATTGTTATTTTTAAGTTGTCAGTTGTCTGTTGTCAGAAGAAAGTGAATCCATGCAGAAGTAATTGCAACTGAGGCGCGCATTGGGTTGAGTGGCAACACTGCGATTCCCGTTCTAAGCATCCTGTTACGGGGTGGTTATCGTGCGTGTGCATTGTTTTATAGCTCATTTATGCAATTATTTAATATTAAGTCATCAAATAAAATTCGTTAAAGTAATTATTTTAGAACGATTAAAATAACATAATTCTTTCAACGCTGTACATTATTAAAGCTGCTGCTAGTTTTTGGGGGAGCGATTTTTTTTATATATAATACCTATATAACAGTGCAATAAATGCATAAAGGGTCGGTTCTTGGCTTTAGTACAGATGTAAAATTTTCTACTTAATCGAATTTATGCACTCACCCTTTACAAGTTTTATCGTTTTCAAGATCTAAAAATTATAAATATTCACGTTCCATTTGTTCAATGCGTCGAAGTCGCTTAGCAACGATTCGTTTGTATAGTTTTGAAAGGCAAAAATAAACTCCATAGATCAAGCTCCTCCGAAAAATTTAACTCTTTAGAGCTCAGCCATCTTCGATCAATTGTTTGAAGCGTGGTAATGTTGATGTTAAGCTCGAATATCAGAAATTGCGATATATATCGCGACAAAAAGTATTTACTTCTCCGAGTGTTAATATTCATATTAATCGCTTTTCTTACAAACTGAAGTAGAATCACTTGCATGTCCAAGGACGACAACTCATTTGTAGGCTGCAGTACATATCTATTATTTATCTGGGAGAAATCTAAATCATCTAAAAGTTACATATAACCTCACATTCTCTCGCCAACCGTTACATAAAAACTCGTCATGCAATTCAGGAGCTAGATGAAACATATTATATACTTCCAAACAGCTGCGATATTGTTTAAAAACTGATGAGATCGAACCTTTGTCATTAGATATTCATTCAAAAACAATCGATGTCTCCACTTGGAAGAATAACCTAACCTTAAAATTTTACATGTTGATTGTGATTCTCACTTCAGAGTAAATATATACAAGTATGTATATCTGATAAATCTGGGGTCTGATTTGCTATTTGAAATTGGTTTTCGCTTGCAAACTCTGCTCAGTTTTCTCACAGAATAAACGAAGTCTATTATATCTCATTTTCAGCTTCGAATGGAACTTTTCCTTGCTGTATAAACCATTTTCTAAATAGTTTTGAAAAATTCGGCTGATATTACAACCCTTGCGTTGCAAAAAATCAAAGTCCACTCGATTAAGTGGAGCCGTCTATATTTCTATGCCGAACACAAAAGGGAAATTTACTCAATAGATACCGTTAAAAAAAACGAAAAAACTTTAACGTCGGCTGCACCGATGCATTTCTTATAGCAAATATATGTATAACTAAATTTGAGAACGTAATCGACCAATGGCTTGCATTCAACGGGTTTTGCTGGTTCTTTCTAGACACATTAAATTTGATCGGGCAGTTTGAAAGGCAACTATATGCTATATTGATCAATCGTAAAGATATATTGTCAAATGGACAAGTTTGCCATACAAGAACTTTATTTGGATCGATCAGTTTGTATGGCAGCTATGCTGTTGAAGGGGTTATCTAGTCCCTATATTGTTGGCAGGGCGTAAGTTAGTTGTCGATGAATTCATCTAACGTGAGGCCCTGGAAAGGTGCTATTTCAATGAGGTCGGACTAAGCTTGGAATATGTGGTAACGATTCTCACAACCGCCGGTTCTCCCTTACAGAATTGACCCATATTTTATACGGTTAAAGGTTTTAATTAATAAGCTTAAAGTATGGCAGCTTTAGGCTATAGTTGTCCGATATGAGCGATTCCGAAAAAATGAGGTCGATATCTCAAAAACTGAGGGAGCTCAACATGCACAGTTATTATTGGTATTGAGAAGTGAAGAGGTGTAATGCCTTTACAGGAGACTCCACACCAAGCCATTACAGTAGCTAGATGGTGACCACGTTGAACCCTTGGAATAACAATTTTTGCGTCTTTGGAAGCTTTTGCGTAGATTTTGTCGTTTTGTTTGTTAAAAAATGCTTCAACAGTAAAAATTTTTCAGCTCTAAAAAGAATACTTTCATGGCCGCAGAAGATGATCAGTTGACTGCCGGAACGCTTTCATTTGGAGATCGTTTCGAATAAGTCTTAACACTGAACTATTTATGGTATATGGCAAGACAACTTCGTGGCCCACTAAATATAGCCCGTACAGGATATACCAATAAAAAAGTAGTAGTACCTAAGGCCGCATATTACTGTAAATAAAAGACATTGCTAATGTTGTGTGCTGGTTTGAAAAAATATTATTTTAAGCAAATTTTTCTTCTCTTAATTAAAAAAAAAAAGAAATAAAATAAAACAAAAAAAATTGTTATTTATACAAATTAAAGGCTAATAAAAATGTCTAATACAAGTATTTGCATTTTTAATATCCACTTACATATACATACATACATAAATGAGCTAAAATTTGTTAGGTCTTCTCGTTGCGTAACTCTTGTTTGGCTAACACTTTTCCCAGTCATTATGACAAACATAAGCTATAAGTAATTCGCGCTTAATTTAAGGACACCTCAGACACCTCACTCGGAGCGGAGACAGCACACCGCGCGGAAGCTGCATCCTGAGGCCTAGAGACACAGTCAGCAGCACTTAAGCGCTGTTCCGCTGGCGACTTTGTCAGGGAGGTCGCCTCAGCTGGTAGAGCGAAGGATTTCGCAGTCACGTGTCCGACTCCGGCTCCAGCGTCGGCATTACCGATAGCAGCGACGCCGCCGCATTCGTTTGGTACGCTCGACGCTGTTGTTGTAGTTTTAGTTGTTGGTGTAACAACTTTTATGGTTGGACCCGGTTCAGCTGCTGTCAGCTGTGTATGCTGAAGTGCGGCAAGCGTGTTTGATGGCGATGCTGAAGGTGTTGTTGCTGCTTTTGTTGTCGTGGATATGGGATGTGGAGCTGTCACTTCGGACATTGTTGTTGATACTGTTGTTGGTAGCAGCACAGGCATTGGCACAGAAGTGTCTAATATGGCTACCACCTCTGCTCCGCGCTCTAATGTTGTTGAGGAATCTGCAAAAGTTTGATTAGCACCAGCCGATTCGGCTGAAGTACCGCTACTGTTCTCCTTTGCAGTTGTTGTAACACTCGCTGCGTATGTGTGTTCTTCTAAGAGTTCTGCTCTTTGGTTGTATAGACCGTTAGCATTGTCACAAGTACCGTTTGCCAGTGAATCTTCTGCATTTACAGTTTCTTCTATAAGTAGCGCTTCCTGGTTGATATCTAAGCTTGGTTGAATATTTATCTGGGTTTGAGGCGTATTCTGCCTAATCATTTCGTCATTTTCCGCGGTTGCCACTCTGGTATTGGCTTCACTTTGCTCTGCTGGCTGCTCTTTCGACTCGGCACCTGATGGAGCGGGGTGTGAGAAAAATTTGGTCAGAAAAATATTAAAAATTAACCTCCTTCGCGTTATGAATACATGGAAAAATGTTGGAAATCACTGTTTTGAATCACACGACATTATTTTTCAATATTATTTAGAAGATAATTTTCAAAGTCTTCTCAGAGAAACTTATTTTTGGGATTCAATAGGTTGAAGTAAACGACTATTTTTCCGACCTTTCTTACTTCTTCACTGCAATGGTACTAATCAGCTCCATTGCTAAATTTCTCTTTAATAATGAGATAAAGGGGAGAAAACTTGCTGTAGATAGATAGATTGAAAGTTGAGGAATGCATTGCGACCTATGGTATATTGTGTCTTTTCCTGTTATCACAACACTTCGTTTAACCCAGTCAAATCAAAGAGACTTAGTAAAACCTATTAGTTAGTGGTTGTAATGTGTTTTCTCACCGGATTTATTTGCCCGATATCCTGACTGCTTCTTCTTGCGATTACAGGGCAATCAAGGACTATGTGCTATGGTGTCTCTGTTCTTTAGTCACAGAAGCGACACAGATCCGTGAAGCAGTACCGTTTGGTATCGAATTCTTCCAGACACAGCCTCGCCTGTTCGCAGAGGCGATCTCTGCTGGCACTTTCCTCTTTCCAGTGTGGGACTCACTGACAGGAATGCTTCCGGTCCTATCAGATTGGTTGCCGCAGCCGTTATTGTCTTTATGCTAGGAATGCATGCTACCATGCTCTAGTACCATTGTTGATTTAAATTCAACAGACAAGATTACCTGAAGTGCCGCCCCGTGATAGTTTTTTTTTCTAGAATAATGTCTGCACATCTGCTAATGGCATAGACCTCGGCTTGAAAGATATTTGGAAACCTGCTCAAACTGACTCTTAAATATTAAACTTGATTTTATCGAGACCACGACGGTAAATAACCCAAAAATACTCGCTTTTACATTCGATAGTTTGAAATATTTCAATTCGTCGATATTATACCTCCCAGGAACATCAAAACTGGCTTGCCAAAATCGGTCTCACAATACACTCCCTTTCTTCATAAGAATTATTGCAGACTCGAGCTCTTCGAGGTCTTGTAAGACCTAAGAAAACTTAGCACTATTGACTTTAGAAGAACCCAGCAAATGACATATATGAGTAGCTTAAGAGGAACCTCCGAACTGTCTGCTAAAGTGAATGAAAACATAATCTACCGCACTGACTAATAGCTGTTGAACTCGTGCTTGAAAAAAAAAAATAAAGTTCGCTAAATTTTTCAACCTAAACATCTATTTCGTAAAACTCGCGACCTAAACAAGCATTAAAATGCCAGAAATTCCTCTTCACTTGATATTAAACGAGCAAGTACTTTGTTTCTAGCGCCATCATTCCAACGACAGAGAATCCTAACCTTCAATAACTGGCAGTATGCGCAAGTATTAGAGAATTCATTGTTGCAAGCGATGCACGGATAGAAGAAATAAAGTCAAAGGAATGTACAAATTAACTTGTAAATATATTTACCTGTTGGTGTTGTTGACGATGGTTGTGATTCCGCGCCAGCATTCACCGTAATTCCTGCTGTCAACTCGTCCGCCGACGTGGCAGCTAATACGGAATGCCCTTCACCGCCCACCACCGTAGCGATTCTCCCCTCACCGCCCGATTCGCGCGGTGTGGTATTGAAAGAGATTGTAATGCCTATAGTAGAGCCATGGTTGTTGTCCGTATTGTTGTTGGTACCACTTGCACCATTTGTTGGTGCATCTGCATTTGCCACCTGTCTGATAGTAATAGTGCCTTCGGCTGCACCACCACCACTACCGCCATCGACATTCACCGATGAAGAAGCGGCTGCTGCTTCAGCCTCGCCGCCTGCTGCGTCGCTGGCTCGGGCGATCGCATCCAGATTCGCCGGATTTATCTGAATGGAACGCAAATTAATGCGCTGCAAATTGGCGATTTGCACGCGAACACGTGGCTGTAGCAGCGTGCGACGTAGCGTGTCCACTGCGCCGCCTCGACGCTGCAGCAGGCCACCCACATAGGGTATTAGCGCCTGATTTCGTAGTGCTTCGAGGAATTGTTGATGTTGCTGTTGTCGCTGTTGCTGCTGTTGCTGTGCGGCGGCTGGGCGCCGAAATAGACGTCCCATTAGTATGGCAGCCGGCCGTCCCTGACCCGGCTGCTGTTGCTGCTGCTGTTGTGGTTGTGGGCCATTCCCCGCCACATTCTGATTGTTTGTTATGATAAGTATTTGCGCTTGTTGAATAATGACGGGCAGCTCGTAACGATGGAAAAAATAGAACATTGAGTGCTAAACGGAGAGGGGGGAGAAGAGTGGACAGCATGTGGAAATAATTGTCAGAATGTGGTATATTAGGCTATTAGATTATGTAAGGCATGTGGCGCGTTGGGAAAATTGGGTGGCCACGTGTTGGACGAAGCCTTGCAAAGTTAGCTGTTGCAAGAACAAGTGGCTTCCTTGGCGAAGTAATTCGCTATTGCTTTATATAATAATTATGTAAATATTATGTTATATGATGAGATAAAATGTCTTCCCTATTCAAAACTGCCTAAAAATTCTCAACGCCAAGACACTAATACCTCTATTACGTGACACAGGAAATGCGCAAATATCTTGTGTTGGAACAAAAAGGTTTTAGTATACAAAAAGTTAATTATCTATTAAGTTAATCCAATAACAGGAACAAAGTTGAAATGATTGGGTTTAGGTACGACGCGATTTTTATCGTGTCGACAGCAGTGGTCTGTTAACCAGAACATCATTATACCTTAAGAAATCTGCGGAAGCGGATCTAAGCGGAAGAAAAAGTATGCTTCTGAAAACCGAGAGCTCAGGGTTTGATGAACGCCAAGCCTCGATCACACGAAGAACAATAATAACTAAGTGAAAATCAAGTATAATGTTTGTAACGCTAGGAAAACCGAATAAAAATCCCCAGTCTTCAATGTTTTGTCGGTTTTGAAAATAATTAGCATATTCACCCAAGTATCCAATAATAATAGGCATAGCTCTTTTGCTTGATAAGTTTGTATTGACCGAATTGTACTCTCTAGGCAGAAATTCTATACAATGGACAGATCCTCAAGTCAACGCTCAGCTGTTTCAGAGTTCTTAAATTACAAAATAACTTTTTAACCTAAACCGTTCCGTTACAATCTAAACAAATATCAGTTGGCTCCTATTTTAACTTCTGTACTTTACACCATGAAACAAATACGTAAATGACTTTATACGGCAGTCTCTGATGATAGCCAACCAAAACTAAGTGAAGTTTTGGAGTTAGTATGAAATTAAGAAATTGTAATCTGAATAGCTCATCACAATCGTCCTGAAATTCAAATAAAAAGCTTGAAGAATGAGTGAAAATTAAACGATAAATTGCAGAACGTTTCGCAGAGTTTCGAAGCAAAAAGTGAAAATCATCTTTTTAACTTCACTAGACATTTTCAAAATTAAGCTTAAACTCCACCATAAGCATTTTATTATACATATATATATTCTTCTTAAGGGGCTAGTTTTTTTCAACCCTTCGCAGCCAATTAGTACTCTTCGTCTCGCCATCACAATTCAGAGTGGAGCTGTGGCATTATTTGCACAAGCAAGCATTATTACACTGGGTCTTCAAACACGTGAAGACTTCGAATAAAATCAATAAACGCCACGTGAATCAGCGCATCTGCATCATCATTCTCAATTACATCAATTCTACCAACTAAATCACAGTACGCGAATATATTATATACATTCATATATGGGTGTATATATATATATATATATATACATGTAGAAGGCACGTGACCCAGGCATAACTGCATTGGCAGTGGTAGACACAAGCAGCGTATGTCAAATTCATTTTACCATAAAGTTGACAAGTATAACTGTGAATATGGTGAACTACCAAATCGCACTCTATTTGCTCCGCAGCGATACACCAATGCATATGTAATGTACTCGTATATGTTTCAATAGTCGCAGGAACAAGGCTTAAAGTAACCGCTATATAGAGAGAAGAAGCGCGTTGTTGGCAATTAATATGAATTTGGTGCTTTCCTAAATGAGTTAAAAAATAATATATATATTTTTTTTTTTTTCAAAATTAAAAATGTAGAGAAAATACTAAATCTCAATCTCAGAAGTTCTCTCATCGCTTTTATTTACTTTGATGAGCTTTTTTTTTATCTATTTGGGCTAAGTGTCCTTCATTATCTTAGTGATTTAAGAGCTTCAAGCTACATTGTAAGATCAGCGGTCAAAGTATATGGTATATTTTTTACTTCATCCTCTCGATCTTTAGCCCAATATTTCTTCAATAAATCCCGAAACACCTCGCTCAAATCTATCTACTATTTCAATGTACAAAATCAAAATAAATCGATATATGATGAATAACGAAAAGAGATGGGATGGTTCTTCTTAGATTTGAAAACAGATATATAACAAGCATACCGGAAAAAAAGTATTCGATTTATTATTCAGGAAAGCAAGTGGAGACCCTGGGTTTACTTTGTTATTTCGAATTGAAACCAACTTGAGAAACGATCAAGTAAACTAGCGAATTATCGCGTGAGATCGACTGGAACTGCTTAGAATTAATATTCCTTTACTCACCTGTATAAAAAGCCAAGAAGATACCAACGCCAAACTACGGTTTTGTCCACTAAAGCGATAATGATAAGCATAGAATGCGAAATGGTATAAAAAGAAGAATCTGCAAATAAGGCAAATATATATAAAAACTTAATTAATATCGTAATTTATGTATGAAATATATCAATGCATAGACGATGGTTAATATTTTTTATACTCACGCAACATGTTGCTACAGAATATAATAGTTTTGTGCACTTAACGTTTGTTTGTTTCTCCTAAAACTTATCGAGATAGATATTGAGTTACAAATATACAAATAATCAGAATGACGAGACGAGTTAAAATACAGGTGACTGTCTGTTCGTCCGTCTGTCCATTTGTTCATCTGTACGAGCAACTGATAATTTGAGTCAAAATTGATATATCTTGATGAAACTTGCCACATATGTTCCTTGGCAACCAAGGGAGGTCGGTATTGCAGATGGACGTAATCGGACCACTGTCACGCCCACTCCCCATATAATGATTATGTTGAAAACTACTAAAAGTGTGATAACTCACTGAATAAATGAGCTACAAGCATTAAATTTCACAACCAGGATGGTGGAAATGGGTTTTATTGGAGCAGTTGTAAAATTGGACAATGGGCGTGACACCGTTCAACTTAGGTGAAATCCTATGTATCAACAAATACTTGAACAATTTCAACCAAATTTAGTATGTGAGGATACCCAAACATTTCTATCACACGATCAGAAAAAGCGAAATCGAATGACAACCACGCCTACTTCCCATAGTAAGAACTTCTGAATTCTATCTGATTCTTTCACTTTATAATATGCAAATCGAACATCAATGAAGTTATCAGAGTAAAACTTGCACTGCACAAATATTGGCCACAAGATATTTAATCTTACGCCCAAAAATTGTCGAAATCGGGCTATAACTTTTCAAGTACCAGGGCATCAAACATGTGGAGCCCAGAGCTTATGGCTGAATTTTTACCGAACATATCGGTCAATCTGTGAGTTCTAGAATTGAAATTTGGGGATAATATTTTTGTGATGACAACATGCCCTTGTGCCAAAAATAGGTTAAATCGGGTCAATACCAAATTAGACCCCATATACCTAATAAAATAAAATATTTTCGAACTTCCGCTTGATTTTATACTGTATCTATCGATCAATATGTAAGGAATATATATGGAATTCAGAAAGACTGTCTTTCTAATAACAGGGTATTTTCTTGCCTGTCATTCTATTTAAATAATGGAATGCAATACTTGCTACTCTGAATTCAAATATATACGAAAATTTCATATATCACTTTACCTTGTGAGAGTATAAAATGTTCGGTTACACCAGAACTAAGCCCTTCCTTACTTGTTAAAAATACAATGCTTCAGTACTGCAAACAGAATTAATTATAAGAAAAAAAATTAAATATATAAAAATTATATATATCACGAGTTCGATTTAATCGCTTAGATATGACACTATTTTCTAAATTCTATGCGAGATAATCAAAGAGCTTTAGAAGCTGAACAATACATATGTATGTATTAGTGTTTTGAGGTCCTTCTGTCTCCAAAAATTATTATCCGATTATTATTATAATGATAAGCTTGATTGATGAAAAAAAAAATTTAAAACTCAAATTTATTTAGGGCTCAAATCTTTTGGTATCGGATAATAGGTTCCAATTCTATCTAAAACAGAACAATGGGAGAAATGTCATGGCAGGAAGAGATTTGAATTGAATGAAAAGCGAAAGAGAAAGGGAGAGGGAGAGAAGATAAAAATGTGGTCGATTTATTTATGCTTTCCGAGTCGATATTTTATAGCAAACATTTTATAAAAAACCAACTGTAAGTCACTTGCAGCCTGCTGATGGACTCCTAGAAAACGCAAAATGACACGGACCGCTGCTAAAACTTTCGAGAGAATTTCCAATCCGTAATACATATTTTTTAGCTGCATAAATATTTCCAAGAATTTTCAATAAGACTGAGAGTAGTTGTTATATATCACAAAATATTTTTTAACTAAAAATTCAAACTGCTCTTAAAGCCCTCTTCCCGCCGAGTCTAAATGAGGCAGATATAAAGGGTTTTGGGTATATGTACATATGAAAGATTTGGCTGATATATAAATATCAGAGTTTTTCATGCCTATAATTCTATTTACAAACATGCATTAATTTATAAACAGGCTCGGTGTTTTTTTAAACCTGCGTTTTGATTGTACTGTTTATCGAATTAGTGACTTTATAGGATTGCATTTTAAATTGTTTGGCGAGAACTTTTAAATAATTATAACCATTTTTAGTAAAAGATTTTTTTACTATATTATATTAGCTTTTTTTAGAAAGCTACTCGTTTGGCGGAACCGCCGATATCGGACCACTATGGCACATAGCTGCCCTACAAACTGAACGTTTGGAATCAAGCGCTTGTAAGGAAAACTATGTTATTTGCCAAAGTATCGTCCTGACTTTTGCATAGATTATTTTTCAAGGGATCGCTATAATCTCCGAACAAATTGTTCAGATCGGACCATTATAGCACATAGCTAATCAGACCACTATAGCATATACGAACAAAATCAAGTCTTTTAAGAAAAACTTTTTTAATTTAGAAGATATTTTCACGAAATTTGTCATGAAAATTTTTCCAAGTCAACGCTACAATTTCCAATTAGGATCAAACCACTATACATAGCATATAGTTGTCATACAAACTAGCTGATAAAAATCATATTCGTGTATGGAAAACTTTTTTATTTGACGACATATCTTCATGAACTTTGGCATGGAGTATTGCCCAAGGCAATAGGTGCAATTCTCGAACAAATTGTTCAGATCGGATTACTATAGCATATAGCTGCCTTACAAACTGAACGACCAAACTTTTGTTGTATGGAAACTTTTTTATTCTTCAGTGTGACCGAAGTAAACGTTTTTGCTTGTTTTAAAATGAAAACAAATATTTATAAAAATTTTTTACTTCTCCGGACCAAACTTTTACTTTTTCTATTATATAATTAAAATTGTTTACGCAAAATAACAGCATGAAAGCACTAACAAAACTTATATTCACTCTAACCTCTTTTTGCGGTTAAACAACAGCCAGTGTATGTGTGTTTCCAAGAACGCCAAGGGTTAGACATCCGACACCGGCTATTGAGCAACGCCCCCGCACTAGACACAACCACTCAAATTTTAACGAATTATGGCGGATCATATGTGACACGCTGTTTGTCTAACATTTCCTAATAAATGCCTAACAACACACAGACACATACAAATATGGGAATGTTGTGTGCAAAAGGAGGTTACGCGTGTGGTAGCTGACCATAACGGCATGTTTGTGTGAGTGTGTGTGTTAGAGCACAATACACTTTGCTGAAATGGTTTCATAATAGCTGCTGCTCACCATCCCACACCTACACTTTGCAAAACCAGCATTCCTGCCCGCGAAAGCAGCACGTTCGCATGTCCAGTCAGCCGTCCAACCGGCCTTAGGCGCTGTGCCCCCATTTCTATTTTGTCCAAATAAAATGGGTCATTCAACAAGTCATAGATGGAAGCCGCAAAATGAGTTGTTTCAAACAACATTAAATGAAAAACAAATATATACATACGCACCCAAATGGTTTCTGTGCTTATATACACATATGTGTGGCTTTGTGTGCGTGTCTACAGCGAAAATATGAAAAACAATCGAAATATAAGCTACAAGTATGGCCCACAAATATCGCAAAAAGTGATTCATTATAAGAGTACATTATTGATTTACACACACACACTCACACACATAGAGTGAAAAAAACAACTGCTTCACCTTAGCAATGCAAACAATTGGACAACTCTTCAGGTTTAATAATATAAATAATTGCCATAGACTACATTGCAGAGAAAATGGCGAATTCCACTTTAATCTCGATGCGGGGGGGCTAAGGAGGTGGGCGCCAGTATATATATATATATACATACGTACCTATCTATGTATGCATGTATTTGTACTCGTGTTTAACGGTACATAAAAAGCCATCGGTTGCCGATCAGTGTCGACTGTCGACTATGGCGTGCGAAAGAGAGAGTGTGAGGAGAGGTTAGGGGCGACATGGTCAACAGTGGGCGCGGAAGAGGAGGTCGCTTGGTGGTGGTCGAGTGAATTATGTTATTGAATTAAAGTTGAGTTGATTGTGACCACAGTATCCTTAATATGATAGCCAGCCCTGTGGCAATAGCAACGCGCCGCACCACACTTCACCATACAATCCCAACTTGTTGCTGTTATTGCTGTTCAAGAGTAGGTACATATTTTTTTAATTTTTTTTACAATAACAAGTACAAGTAACCATAACATATACAAGTATTTATACGATGGCGGTCCGATAAGCCCACAAAAGAAAAACGAAAAGTTTTGAAACAGACGATAATTTTCTCCCCTGATGCTCCAACTTTTTTAGCCGGTCTGAAAAATACGTTTGCTGCCTGTCTGCAAAGTTGGTGGCGACGAAAACCAACCATCATTCGACTAAAATTTCTGTACGGGGAGGAATCTCTAGCTAGTGAAAAGCTTGTGGTAGTGCTTCGACCGATATGGCTTTGGCGACGACGGTGCTTAAGTACGAGCGTTGTTATTCTTCCAGAACCCTTATTTCGCCAAATGGACTTGTTTTTTTGCTATTCGAAGTTTGAATCGTCCCATATTTCGGAATAGTACAGCCGGGTGACCGTTTTGCCCTTCTCCAGGTGGATCACACTTAGAAAATCCCAAACAAAAAAAAAAAAACTATTGCCAACATCTTTCCGTTCGATAGGACAGTCTTCGCTTTCTTTGGAACAAGTTCGTCGCGATAAGTATGTGGTCTATAGTGAGTACCAGTTGGTCCATTTTTCGACAACGGTCACGAAACGATGCCGAAACTTCTTCGGATTGCGTTTTAACGCCATCAAACTCTGCGATGAAGCGGTCTCAAGCTTGTGATTGTTGTCTGGTTTGAACAAACTCAACACAGCTATTTTATGTCCAATATTTCATGCAGGATATGACCCATGCAGTCTTTTAACTACTTAGTGTCTTAGCTATCTCGTGACCTCAAACGCTGG